TCTTCATTTTTGTTAGTATTTTCAATCATAAAAATAAAATCATGTTAGCATTGATAAGCAAAAAGCTAAATGAAAATGCTGCTAGTTGTAGCGTTTTCCAAATTAGCGGTTTGGAGCAAAAAGCTAAGTGAAAAAGCCAATTTACCAAACACAATTATTAGCTGGTCAACAAGTCAAATAAACTATAAAGTGATCAAACAGCTAAAAGTTGGCTGAAAAGCCAATTACCAAACGCAGCCATAAGCTATAAGCTAGCTTATCAGCTATCAGCTAGCTTATCAGCTAATTTTACCAAACATAGCCTTAATGTTGTCTCATTCTGCCATCTTCAAGGGGTAGTGCATCGTGATCTTAAACCTGAGGTACGTTTGTTGTATGATTATATTATTCGATATTGGAACAATCACCAATATCCATGATTTATAATTATTTGGATTTTCGCTTGTCCTTCAGAATTTTCTATTCACATCCAAGGAAAGAAAACTCGCTGCTGAAGGATATAGACTTTGGTTTATCCGATTTTGTGAAACCAGGTTGGTCCTTTGTTTAATCAATACGAGTTTTCGAGTATGGCAACTTAAAAAAAATCATTTGATTTTAGTACGATTATTTGCAGACGAGAGGCTTAACGACATTGTAGGCAGTGCATATTATGTGGCACCTGAAGTTGTTACATCGAGCATACAGTACAGAGGCCGATGTTTGGAGTATAGGTGTGGTAGCGTATATCCTTCTGTGTGGGAGCCGCCCGTTTTGGGCTCGAACAGAGTCCGGCATTTTTCGGGCTGTAGTGAAAGCCGAGCCCACTTACGAGGAACAACCCTGGCCCACACTTTCATCTGAGGCTAAGGACTTTGTTAAGCGCCTCCTGAACAAGGACCCAAGGAAAAGGATGACTGCACCTCAAGGCCTTATGTGAGCTTTTTTTTCCATGTTTTGCCTGATTAAAAACGAAATAAAAAAAAGGTTGTTTAAAAAGCTACGGATACTCCCTTGAGATTTGTAAAATGAAGGGAAAAAAAAAAATATTTGAGGTTTATTTTTAATTTCGAAACCTCAAGGGTAGTTTCTGTAACTTATCATTTGGTTGATGAAAAAAAAAAAAAAAAGATTCTCCTGATTTTGAAAGTGTGTTGATTTTCTGTTTCAGGTCATCCATGGATCAAAAATAGTAATGGTGTGAAAGTGCCGTTGGACTTACTAATATTTAAAATTATGAAAGCTTACATGCGTTCATCTCCTCTGAGGAAAGCTGCTTTACGGGTGTGTGTAGCAAACTAGTCTATGATGAGTGTGTTTGAATATTTGAAGAAAAACATGTGAAAATGGCCCCATGGGCACTTGCATCAAATGAGCTCGACTCAAGAATACAAAAAACACGGAAAATAACAACAAAAACACATGAAACCAACACCCAAAATATTTTCTTGATCCTATGGCATATTGAGTATCTTAGAAGACTTTCTTAATTAGTTGGGCTTTAAGCTTTTGCAGGCTTTATATGACTTTCTTGATCCTATGGCATATTGCTTATCTTATATGACTTTCTTAATTAGTTGGGCTTTAAACTTTTGCAGGCATTATCTAAAACCCTAACTGTTGACGAATTCTTCTATTTAAGAGAGCAATTTGCACACCTCGAGCCGACCAAAAACGGAACAATTAGCTTGGACAATATCAAAGCGGTTGGTGGTTTGCTGATTGTTGTATAAAAAAATCATATGTAATTTACGTGAAAACTTGTTCAAAGATTTTATTTTATTTTTCGGGTCAGGCCTTGAAGAAGAACGCTACCGAAGCCATGAACGAGTCACGAATTTATGACTTCCTTGCTTCGGTACGCCTTTCTGACACTATACACCAACTATCTATTTTTGTATATTTAAAATTGCAGTTCTAAGTTTTTTTAATATATATATATATTTTTCTTTTAATTCCTGTTACAGCTTAGTGCCCTTCAATACAGAAAAATGGATTTCGAAGAATTCTGTGCGGCCGCATCAAGTGTTTACCAGTTGGAAGCTCTCGATAGATGGGAGCAACATGCTCGTTGTGCCTATGAGCTTTTCGATAAAGAAGGCAACCGAACTATCATGATCGAGGAATTAGCTTCGGTAGATTCCATATGTTATTTATTACTTAATTTTATTGTTTTAATAATGCTCCTTTTTAATACAATAGTTTATTGAGACATAGCCTAACCTCCTCCCCCCCCCCC